ACTCATCTACAGGCCAGGACTCTGCAGTTTACACTCATCTACAGGCCAGGACTCTGCAGTTTACACTCATCTACAGGCCAGGACTCTACAGTTTACACTCATCTACAGGCCAGGACTCTGCAGTTTACACTAATCTACAGGCCATGACTCTGCAGTTTACACTCATCTACAGGCCAGGACTGTGCAGTTTACACTCATCTACAGGCCAGGACTCTGCAGTTTACACTCATCTACATGAAGAAATTATTGGGGTTTAGGTTTATTCAACTGACTTAAATTACTTACACATGGTATAGTCTTATGATAGAACTGTAATGATTGTTAAATGTGACTATTTTGCTTAACTTGATGATTTTATAATAATAGCTACATGCCTGAAAACAAATTCAACACATAACTGAACTTTTAAATCTTCATTAGAATAGATTATTATGTCTGGGGTCATGGCTTCTGGTAAGAGCAGGGACCCCTCCACAGATGATGTAATCAATAGGTGGAGCCATGCCTCGGAGTCTTTGTTAAAAACAAATGCACTTCCTTGTTTTCTGTCTGAACACTCGGTCAATGATTAAACCAGTCTTCAGCAGAGCGCTCTGCTTTTGTATGGCTTTCTATTTATTATTTTTTCCATGCATTGGTACATTTTCCATTTAGTTTAAGCACACAACCTAGTAAACGAACAACAGTTTACACTCATCTACAGGTCAGGGGTAGGATTTATAAAGGATTGCACGGAAACCATACTAAAAGTGAACATATGGCCAAAAGGTGAAAATGGTGTATGCCAAAAAAAATTCTGATTTATAAAACTGAAACAGCACCCTCAACTGAATTCCTTGTGGAACAGTGTGATAAGCCTTCTTCAGGTCCACAAAACACATGTAGACTGGAGAGGCAAACTCCCAGTGACCCATGACCCTGTTAGCAACTCCACAAGGGTAAAGATCTGCTTCTGAATCTGAGGTTAGACAGATGATCGGTGCCTTCCTTCCAATACCTTGGAGAAAACTTTCCTGGGCAGGGCAAGACGTAATCCCGAGATAGTTGGAACACACTCTCCAGTCCCCTTTAAACGTTTCAGTCCACAGGCATTCTCCCAGTCCCCTGCGTGACGTAGAAGAGATGTAACCTAAATGATCTCTTCTGTTCCTGATATTATGTCAAAGCATTGCCTGTTTTTGTCAAGTCTGAGTATAGCTGCTTTTTTTTACAGTAGCTCTGGGTTTTTCTCAATGAATCCCTCTGTAGCTGCAACTGTTACTGTAGTAATACTTTCTTTCCAAAAGGTGAAAGAGGTGGGCCTGTCAGTGGAAGACTGCAGCTGCTTGGCTCAGGACGCCTTTCGGTTATTTGAAGTGTACTGGAGCATCGGGGGTGTGACAAACAATGTTCTTCCACTGTTCTGGCCCGCTCGCCTCTCTGCGCTGTCCAGTGCAGACAAACCTCTACAGCTAAAGTTCAACGGAGTGCCTGCTCAGGTCTACTTATCTGTAAGTTCAAACAGCACACAGAAATGACCTGAACAGAAACACTTCCTTCTCAATGATAACTCCAGACAGTTAATGCTGTGTTTGTTTCCTGTAGAGTTCTCCTCCACAAATATCAGCCCGTGGACGCTCAGACGACCTGTCTGCTATCTTGTCTGTTATCAATGATGCCCAGAAGTTCATTTACATTTCTGTTATGGACTACCTCCCTCTGTCTGAGTTCACAAAGCCCCTCAGGTAGATCCACATGTGCTCCCAACTGCACTGATCTACACTCACCGGCCACTTTATTAGGTGCACCACGCTAGTAACGGTTTTGTGGTCATAAAGGGATGGACATGGTCAGCAACAATACTCAGGTAGGCTGTGGCGTTGCAACGATGCTCAATTGGTACCAAGGGGCCCAAAG